TGGTGTTGTCACGCATGCCATGATGTTTCTAATCCACTGAGAATTAAAACCAATGTCTTGAAGTGTATCTTCTATGAACCCCCACGCTAGCCTATCATAGGCTTTCTCAAGGTCGATTTTAAGTAACATCCAACCCCTAGGACCTTTCTTGGTTCTCATTGAGTTGAGAAGTTCTTGATATACGATGACGTTATCAGTGATTTGCCTTTCCGGTACAAAACTGGTCTGATGGGGTCCAATAAGCTTTTTAGAAGACGCTTTCAGTCTCATAACCATTAACTTGGTGAGGAGCTTATATGATACGTTGCAAAGGCCTATAGGACGAAGGTGTTTAACAGATTCGGGGCACGAGACTTTGGGTATGAGAGTAATCAAGGTGTCGTTGCAAGCTTCAGGTAGTATACCATCTGCAAAAAAGCTAAGAGCGAAATTAGTTAAGCATAAACCAGTAAGGTTCCATGTTAGTTGGTAGAAATCTGCAGTGAAGCCGTCCGGTCCCAGGGCCTTGTTTGGTTTCATTTCGAACAATGCTTGCTTGACATCTTCCAGTTGGAACGGAGCATTAATCGCAGCCCATTCTTCTTGACTTAACACTGGAAAATAACCCTGCAGATTCGAAGAGACAAAAGGACAAATTTCTGAAAAAGAGTTAACAAAGAAGTTAAAGATGTGCTCTCTGATTTGAGTGTCGGAGGTAAGGTGCTGCCCATTTTCATCTTTGATATGTTTAAGGCTAGCAGAATTCATTTTCGTAGCAGTGGCTGTGTGGTAGAACTTGGTATTACGGTCTCCTGATTCGATCCATTCCTCCCTCGACCGTTGGAACCATAGGAGCTCTTCTTGGTATAAGACATCCTCAAGTTCAGTACGTAATTTCCTGTCAAGCTTAAACAAATCTGCCCTTGGTCTAATAGCCAAGGAGCATTGCACACCATTTATTCTAGCTAATAATCTTTTTTTTCTTATGAAAAATGTTGCCAAATCTACCTTTATTCCATGCTGCTTAGGACTTGGCCACAGCAGCTTTGTTGGATTCCAAGTTGCCCCCTTTGGACCAAGCTTTTTTAACACAATCTAGAAAGTTTAGGTGAGTGGACCAGGCAAGATTGAACCTGAACGACTTGGTTGAGGGAGTTTGGGCTATAGATTCTGAATTGACTAAAATTGGGGAGTGATCTGAGTTGATCATTGGTAGATGTTCGACCAACGAATTTGGGAAATTAATCTTCCATGCTATGTTGCCAAGTGCCCTATCTAGCCTTGCCCCTTTGAAGGATGGGGTATCAATTCTACGTTTCCAAGTGAATTTTGAACCGGTGTAGCCTAAGTCAATTAGAGCCTCGCAGAAAATCCAGTTTTTGAAGTCAGAGCTGCGGTTTAGGGAGAAGTTTTAGGGGCTACTGGTTTCATCCGGGCTTAACACTGAGTTGAAATCACCTACTACTAACCAGGGGATATCTGGGTGATAGCTATCATTTGTGAGGTCCGTGAACAACTTTTTACGGAGGTGTGCATTCGGGCTACCATACACAACAGAGAACAACCAAGATTTTGTGGTTGTAGGATCTACCTGCATGGTAATGAATTGTGGGTGAGTGTCAAGAATGGTTACCTGGACAGAAATCCTCCAAAAAACCCAAATCCCTCCTGAGAAACCTACTGCTTCAACTCTTATCCAATCATCAAAGCCAAAGCTGGAGCAAATCCTATCAGCTTGATAACCTGAAACCTTAGGTTCTAACAAACAAACAAAAGAAGGTTTATGTACACTAATTAAAAGCTTATGCGTGCGGTGAAAGGCTCTTGAAGCAGCACCTTGACAATTCCATACTAGACAAAACATTAAAAATAAAGAGGAGGAAGGATCACGCTCAAGAGCGCATAGGGATAGGTCCCGCCGGGCAATCAGGGCCATCAGAAATCATTGCATCAACAGGATGATTACTCTGGGGAGCTGAAGTTGAGGGTATATCCGGAGGATCATTTCTAGGAGGAAGCTCATTCTCTTGAAGAGGTGGAAACTCATGCTGATTGTCGATGTGATAAACAGTTGTGCTAGTAATATGGCGGCCTTGATTGGATCCACGAACCACGGTATGCTCGGTTTCAGCTGCTGCCCTCCTTGGTGTACCACCTCTACCACCTCTACTTCTAAACGCTCCTCGTCGAAGTGGTCCAGTGTAAGATTGTGGTTGGATCTGGTCTACTTCATTTTGCACAGGAAGAGCTTGGTTCTGAGGGAAGGTGACAGGGCTTTTGCCCCTTCGTCTATCTGTTTGAATTCTTGGTAAAGGGACATCCGAGTTCTGGTTGATGGGGCTGGATTGATGACCTTCGATGGGGTGTTCCTCGCCTTCTGTTTCTTGGTCTGCCAGAGGCCCATAGCGTGATTGGTTGTTCCTGCTGTTACCACCCGTTCTTACCCCGGTCGGTTGTCCACCGGCAGTTGCTCGATTATCGCCCCTCCGTGGACCTCTTCGATCTTTCCTTGTGACAAGCATCCATGGTCCGTAGTTCGCAGAGTAGTCGTTCCTTTGTTCAGGTAAGCCTTGCTCCCTACTATCATTGTTTACAGTTTGGTCATGCGCGTTTTGAGCAGTAGCAAGGCCACATTGATTTTCTTTGTGGCCATAGAGACCACATTGAAAGCACACAAGATGCAGTCCTTCATATTCTACCGGCCACACTTCTTCCTCAAGGGTGAACTTGGATAATAAAGGTTTCGAAATATCTATCTCTACGCAAACCCGAGCAAAGCTGCCTTTGGAGATTAGACTTGTGGTAGTATCAATCTTGATAGGCCGACCTACTCTTCTTGCAATCTTCCTTAGGAATTGTTCATCAAAGTATTCTACTGGTAGAGTAGGAAATCTGACCCATGCAAGTAACTTCTTAGTCTTGTTCTTCTTTGGACAGAAATTCGGAACCCATTCTTGGACAACCACATAGTGGTCAAGAACACTCCAAGGGCCTTCAAACTTGGCAAAATCGTAGTCTCTCTGTGATTCAAATCTAACAATATGGTATTCGTGGTTTAAAGTGATTAAATCAAAACCTGCTTCTGGTTTCCACATCTTCTGCAAGCGTTGGAGCAGGTAAGAGTAGCCCACCTTTCTACCCAAAACTCTAATAATCAAAGAACGACGCCAAGGTCTTCGGATTCTTTCTTTTTCTTCTTCTGAAATTGGGATTACCGGGTTACTGGGCACTGACCTGTCATCTTCCATGTCTGCGTCTTCTGGATTGTCCTCGCCGGCCAGAGAATCCGGTACCACGGAATGCGACGAGGCGTGGACTGGTGTATCTGAAGGAGTCCTCCATTGCGTAGAATCTGGGGAAAGAAGTTCCGCCTCAGCTTGCATGTCATGACTGCTATTGACTATTGGCGATGATAAAGATGGATCTGAGTGGTTCCTTCGTCTCTTGTGCTTCTTGGGGTTGCGCTCGGCGATACCAAGGTCCTCCGGCGACTGATAAGTCGCCGTGGGCGTCGAGCTTTCAGACAGAGTGTCGGTGACAGTTTTCATTCTTGGCAGTTTCTTGGAGAAAAAATTTCATCGTGGCGTTTGCAATGTCTAGAGGATTCACATTGGTCGTAATGGGTTTAAGTTGGAGGCGTCTCCTTTCCAAAAGAAAAAAAAAGTAGAAAATCACTTTGTTTGGTAGTAAATAGAAATTAGAATCAAAATAAATAAATAAATAATTAATTAATTAAAATAAAAATAATAAATTTATAAAAATATATAATACAAATATATACAAAGAATCCGGATAAGGTGAGGACCTAATCTTAGGTGAGGACGTGAGGACTAATCTTGTGCGTTTGTTTTTTTATTTGGATGGTCCAGATTTGAGTTCTTGAGATGACATGGATTGATCTTTTTTGTTAAAGTGGGATAATAGTGTCTTTTTCTATTTTTTTAAGTGTGAACGCATGTATAATCCTTGGCCAAATTGGTTTCCTATTTTCTTGGATCATCACCGTTGCAATTTGGAGCCGCGATTTTCTTCATCATTGATTGAGTGTTCGCCCATTCAAACTAATCAGTATTTTTTATTTTTTTTTTCGCTTGTTCTTTTGAGTATAATATTGTCTATATTTGGATTGTCGTGTATATGTATAAATGCCTGGGTAGTACGATTGTGCATTCGTGTGTGCTGATTGTGCAACCTAGTGTTGTAAGTTGTGCACTATAGGCTAGGGAGTTGTGCATTATAGCACATAGTTCAATGCATCATAGAACATTGGATGTTCACTGTGTGATTTTTTGGCGAGGTTTGAATGCATAACAATGAAGTTATTGATGCACAACGCACAGTATAGGAATGCACAACATTTTGTATAGGAATGCACATCTTTTAATAAGACTGATTTACCCTAATTTATATATTTTAATATGTTAAAGGGATTTGTTTTCTTAATTCGTGTGTTTTGTTTCTTTTAATCTCAATCATACATCATTCTGATTTAATGGTCTAGATTAGTCCTCACGTCCTCACCTAAGATTAGGTCCTCACCTGATCCGGTATACAAATACATATGTGTATATATATATATTAAGAGTTAATACCTATTTTGGTCCCTCGACTATTAGGTAAAATCCATTCTGGTCCCTCGACTATAGATAAAAGGATTTTTTGTCCCTCTATAATGGTAGATGGATGACAATTATAATGGATGACCAAATTAAGTATAATTTTATAAGTCAGAGGACTAAACTGGGTACTTTTAATAGTATGAGACTAAACTAGGCATTACCTAATAGTCGAGGGACCAAAATAGATATTAACTCATATATAAAATTCTATATTTAATACATGGTAAATGACCTCTTTAATTTTTTTCTCTCTTAATTTTTTTATTTTATTTTAATTGTCCTTGATCCATGCGGGGTGAATTCGAGTGCATATCAAACAAATTAAAATTGTCACGGCCTTTGGAATTGGAGATTCAACTCAGAAGAAAAATGGAGGCTTAAAGTGTTACTACAGAAAACCCCAGGGGTCCCCTAATAAACACAGCAGTAAAATGGGGAAAGTATGAAGATGCTCTCCCTCTTCATACTGCCTGATATGGCATCAAATTATGCATTTAGATTTCTTCTTCATTTGGATTTCAAATGTTTAATTAAAATCAAAAGAAAAATCAGAGGAGAGAGAGAGAGAGAGAGAGAGAGAGAGAGGGAGAGTGAGAGAGAATAGGAATACATTAGAGTCGGTCTAGGGAGCGGAAATGGAAGTGTGGAGCGGGGTTTCTGGCAAGAAATTAGAGAGAAAAATATGGCATTTATATAGGCGGCTTTAGATTTTGCATTTAAAACTTGAATTTTGAAAAATTTATTTGTTCCCCTCAATATCTTTGCATTATTTTGTTTAACTTTACATATATTATTGATCCGATCTGTTTCTCAGACAGCTCTAACAACTGGGTGTGAGAAAAATCCGAAGCCTTCAGATTCTTTTTTTTTTTTTTTTTTTTTTCTGAATTTTTTCTCTTTCTTGATGTATATAAGATATATGTGTACCAGAAAGTTACAATCTTTGCTGAATTATGGGGGTGTTTTTTCTTCCCAAAAAAGTTGCCGATCTTGACTCCATAACCTGCGAGATATTATGTGATCAGCTAGGGATGATAAATTTGGAATCTGCGTATTTTTTTCTTTGACTTTGCCCTTTTCTTGATTTATTACGAAATAAATTTCCTTTCCATTTTGGGTTCTTTTCTTTTATATGCAACTCTCAGATTTTGTGGAATTCTCTTTTAAATTTTCAAGATTTTGTTGTATCTTTAAGGATTGTAATTATAATGGTGTTATGTGGGAATGAATCTTATATATAGTCCCCCTCTGAGTTTGTTTCACTCAAAATCTTCAACTTTGTGCTGAGAGATTTGATGGCAATGGGGCAAGAAGAACATCCCCAGAAGTGTAGTAATAGTAGCAGTGATGGTGGGGGTGAGGGTGTTTGTAGTAGTAGATCTTCCAAAAAAATGAAACCAAAAAAAATCCCCCAAAGAGGATTAGGGGTTGCTCAGCTGGAGAAGATTAGATTAGAGGAACAACATAGAAGAGATAATCCTTTCCAAGCAGTTAGCCTTTTATCACCCAATTCAATGGTTTCATCCTTACAAATCCCACAATCACATAGCATTTTATTACCCAATATCTCTCGCCCTCACCTTTCGTCTTCCCCTTCATCAACCCCTCTGCCGCCCCCTCCACCGCCCCCTGATATCACCTCACCGAGTTTTAGAGCGTCCCCGACCTCGAAGGTTGATCAGCCTTTGCATTCGAATCCCGCTGTTCAATTCTCGAAGCAATTGAATCTGGGAGGAGGCGATAGGGGTAGGTTGATGATTCCGGGCAATAGTTACTGGCCCAAATTGTGGAATGGTGAATACAATCTTGAAGGAGAGAATCACCATGGGATCACTTTTAGGCCTAACATAAACTTGCCTATCGAATCACATACCTCGGTTTTGCCTCTCCCGAGATCACAACAGTATCAGCAACCCGCTTCTTCTTCGATGGTTAGCCAACTAAATTTAGTATCCATTCCAATATATTTATCTTTGAGGGTGCATTTGAATTGTTAAGGCTGATTGGGTTGTGAAAGATGCAGGTGAACAACTTGTCCGAGATTTCATCATCATCTGTAAGGAATTTTCAGATAGAGCCCCCTTCAAACCAAAATTACCGTGGCAATGATTATGCACCTCTGTGGCCTGAGGAAGTGAAGGTATTTCCAAGCTTTCGTTTTGATCTATTCATGTATTATGTTGAAATGGATTTAAATGTCTGGTTAAATCAAATCTGATGGGAATATGATTCAGTTTACTTCTTTAGATACTTTTTATCTATAGAGCATTCATTGTTCTTGGAAAAACCGAAACAAAAAAAAAAAAAATTGAATCTTGAATGTTATATCATATTCTTATGCTTCATGAAATTTGGATAAAAACTGAATTTGTGTGATTCTCTTTTAGCAGTTTGTGTGAAACTCATTTTGTTGATGCTATTTTCTGTTTATTACTGATTTGATTTAGATGGTTGGTGTTAAGAGGCCATACCCTTTCTCGCCCGAATATCCACCTCTTCCCTCGTTTAATTACAAATTTCCACATGGCTATGTTCCTTCCACGTCTAGACCGAATGAACCAACGTCCTGTACCAATGGTAGCATAGTCATCAATGTAGAATCGCGCAATCTGCCTATAAGGTATGATATGATTGATTTCCATACCCATACCCAGATTTCTGTTTGATGTCGAACGTATTGTTAGTTATTATGCGTCTTTCTCAGGGAAGACACTTCAAACTCGAATAATGCACAGTTTGATTCCAACTCGAGGAGTTTTAATCAAGAAAACGGAGGTCTTAACGGAGATTTCCTCTCGTTGGCCCCTCCATCAGCGGCATTACAAATAGATCCTAGATACCACCATTATTCAAGAAATCCACTCCCCCTCAATCAAGAAGCATCCAGTCAGGTGAAAAATAATAGTAGTAATTGTAGATTAGAGATAGATAGATACAGCCATATGTAGTTGATTTTCTAACTCGACTAACTTGTGTGTTTCTAATATATATATATATATATACAGAGAGGCGGTGAAGAGTTCATGAAACGGTCAGGGATTAATGAATCAGCTGAACCACAGATTTTCAGCTTCTTCCCGGCTGCAAAGGTGCAAACTACTGATGTAGAAGAAAGCCCTAAAAGAAGATACAACAGTGACTCGAATGGAGTCGTCGATCTGAACCTGAAGCTATAGCCTACCCAATCTCTTTTAATGTTTTTGCGAAGCTAGAATAGAATGTCCATTGTTTTCATGGTTTCTAGTCATTGTACGTTTTACATTACATGATGGATGGATGAATGTTCTTTTTAGTCCTTAATATACACAACTTACTTTCTACAAAGAAAGATATGGAGACAATAAATAAATAAATAGATATAGTTAATTCTTGATTTGGTCCCTCAACTATTATAATTCACTACTTTGGTTATCGGCTTTTAAACTTGTTCAATTTTATCTCCAACTATGCAATTGTTAACTAAAATGGTCATAATCAGGACTATTTTAGGTAAAAATTACATAGCTAAGAATGAAATTGAGGAAGTGTAGAAGTCGAGGATTAAAATAGTAAAATTTTAATAGTCAAGGGGCTAAATTAGGTATTTACTCTGTGTGTAAGTTGGAATTACATAAAAAGAACACCAACATCTTGGTATATTCAGACCAACTCTTTTAGAGGTCATGTAGTGTAACATTATGTTTAGTATACTCTGAACTCTCTTTACTTAAATTTTGCTTAAAAAGAAAAAAGAAAAAAAAAACTAAACACACAAGTGAGACGTGATATAGTCAAATATAGAATATGAGATGACCAGTGGCGGAGCCAGGATTTACGTTGAGTGGGGGCGAAAACGCAAAAGTAAAATGAATAAATTTGTTAAACAACAATATGCTAACTAACATTAAATAATTATTCCAAATAAACAACTATACCAACTAACATTAACGATTTTTAGCAAATGTGTTCGTCCCTAGTAATTAACATAACTGTTAAACAACTACATCAGTACAAATGGAAGGTAACTAAGCACAAAAAAATAGCTTTAGGATTCGAACTGCTGACCTTTCACTCAAATTATAAGGTCAAATAATGGCCTAACCATCTCAGCCAACCCAAACTTTGTTCAATTGTTGGTATGTTTAATATATATTCAGTTTATATGGAGTAGGGCAGTGGGGGCAGCAGCCCCCACTGCCCCCATTGTAGCTATGGAAACATTATTAATAAAATTGGAAGAATAAGTATGAATTTTATCTTGACCAATTGGATGATAAAAATATGAGTTTATTATCGAAATGGTCCCTCGACTATTGCGAAATTACAAATTTAGTCCTTGATAATTTTTCTTACCCAATTAAGTTCTCGACTTTGAAAATGTTAACTATTTGGGTCTTCCGTTAGATCAGGCGTTAGAAGTCCGTTAAATTGGAGGGCATTGATGGTATTTCACATGAGAAGACCCATTTTCAATTAATTAACGTAAATAATTAATGAATGGAAAATATTATCCAAAATCAAGCAAAAAGAAAAAGAGATCGGCGCAATGTTAACTCAGACGGCGGCGTCGCTGACGACACATGGAGGAGGCCGGAAGGAGAAGTTGCAAGAGTAGAGAGAGATGAACGGAGCCTCAGACGGGGTGATACTGGAAGAGTTGCAAAGAAAATGGCGGATTTCGCGATGGAAAGACTGGGACCAGTTCCATAACCCAAGAAATCTCCTTCTTGCCTTGGTAGGGGAAGTGGGAGAGCTGTCTGAGATATTTCAGTGGAAAGGTGAAGTACCAAGAGGCCTCCTTGGATGGGAAGAGGAAGAGAAGCAGCACTTGGGTGAAGAGTGTTAGATATACAATAGTCTAACTATAATGAACCATAGTATACGAGAAACCTGACCTCGTATGATAGCGGAAGCGTAGCCATGTAGGTCTCCAGGCTCCAGCCATAGTTGATGTTCCTGTTGTGTTGCCTCTTAACGGTAGACCGTCAGCCATGTTTTGCCTCAGACCTGACTCAGAACCCTAGATGGTGTATTGGTATCTACTGAGTGGTCTGAGTACCGTAACTGAATGTGCTAACTAATCCATAAACCTGTATCCCATCAATCCAGGTTTATATTAAGCACAGAGTTTGGTTGACTAACAACTACTAGTTATTAAGTCCAACCAGACCACTTAATAAGCCTAGTCAACTTGCACCACTTAATTAAGGCCCTAATATATAATATATAATATATATTATTAGGGAAAATCTTACATTCTCCCACTTGGTGCAAGTACTAGCACAACCTTCATCAAAGAACAAAACACACGAATCATAGTGACATTTCCTCTATTTAATAAGAGTAGTATCTATTATGGTCACATGCATTTTAATTCTCCAACTTAGGTCCTTAATGAACAAACCCTATGTTTATTCTCGGTACCTTAAGGGATGTTTCTCAAAATACATTATGTGCACAACTGAAGGAGAAAACGCATCCAAATTGTACAAAAGAGTACACTGTATGATCTCTAAAACTTTATAAGCATGCCTTAAGTAGAGATCCCTTAATGTTAGCATAATGCTAACTATATTCCATGACTTCTTTATAAGTTAACTTTAAGTACTATCTCTAACAGCTAAGAGTTTGGAGTTGACACGTCTGTCACTCCCACTCATCAAAAATAGCCAAAAGATAGTCAAGTCACAGAAGCATTCCAATAACTTAGACAATAAACCAAATGTCTAAGTCCATGAATTTGGAATCTTAATCATACACCATAACTTCCCAAATAACTTCAATGTCCACTTTAAATGAACTGAACATATTGAGTCTTACTTATATGTCTCACAAAATTGTTTTGAGCCTTACAAACCAAAATGGCCCAGGATCAATTTTGAAGAAACTAAAGACTCTGTTAATCACTGAAGAATTTATTAGATGACAGTGCCCCACAAGTTCAATGCTTTTATTCTAATAAATTCATTAATATTGTTACAACATTTTCATAAATATATTGTACAACCAAATGTTCAATAATTCGAACTTATGAATTTATATAAACAAATACAAAATTAATACTTGTGGAATCTTATGGACTTATTGTTTGACATACAATCAAATTTAGGATGTATGAAACCATTTAAATCCATAAACTTTAGTGGAGTAACATAATGATCTTTTTCTAAATGATCACTCCCACTGATTAAAACATTCTTCAGCAAAATTAATAAAATGAACTTAATAATATACATACTCATAATTGATTTATTGACCAACTAACAAATGAAGACATAATTCCCAACCATTAGTTGGACATACTAAATAATCAATTTTTGGTTCCAATTAAAGTCCAACTAAATAATGAAGATATAATTCCCCACCATAGTTGGACATACTAAAAAAAAAAAAAAAAAAAATACATCTTCCAAAACCAAGTTAGAATTTGGCTCAAAAGATATATTTAATTATTAATGAAATCCAAAAGATGTATGTCAAATCACGTAACTTACTACAGTTAGTCCGAAGAACTGAGCAAGATTCGTGGATCAATTAATAAAAGTGTCTAAATTTTGGGAAGTGACTGAAAACATGTTTTGCCAATGCAAACCATGAACCTTAGAATTATAATTGAGCTAAATTTATAAATTCTAAGAAATTGTGATAAAATTATTATCTAATGGGTTGAAGGATTTATTGACATAAAACTTGCCTATGGGCTAAAGTTTTAATTTTATTAAATCCAATTAAGAAACCCTTATGATAATATTTTTCACAATTACTAAAGAGCCAGAAGAATCTAGTGACATAAAACTTGCCTGTGGGCTGAAGTTTTACTCAATTAGATCCTAACCGAAAAATTTTATTTATGATGAAACAATTTATCAAATGAGTTGAAGAATCAAATGATATAAAACTTGTCTGTAGGCTAAAGTTCTATTCAATAAGATTCATTGCTATCATTATGATAAAAAACTTAAGAGATCATGTTCCTTTTCTTAATCCCTGTGGGCAAATTAAGAAATATGATCTAAAGTTTACATCATAAAATTAAACTTCATGATAGAACTGAAAATTATTTACAAATAGCCATAAAGTAAATAAATAAATTTATTTCTATCATCATTGATAAAACTACTAAACTACATTCCGATACATAATTGCCTGTGAGCTAAATTATGATCGTAGTCCAGTATTTCATCCTGATTAATCATACAAATATAACGAAATTGTCTGTGGGCTAAATTTCATCATATTACATACAATTAATCACAAATGATATGTCCAAAACTTTATGTGATCAAAATAAACCGCTTAATATATAATTTTAACAGATTGAGGATGCTGTGGCTACTCCAAAACCAAATTAAAATTATAAGATCACTAGACAATTATCAAATTCTTGCCTAAACTTTATGTGATTAAAACTTAATAATCTTAGGTAGCTGAATATGCTGTAGCTATTCCTTAATTAACCAAGATTGAAAACTTAAGAGACTTCAGTAAATTAAAGATGTTTTGGCTATTCTTTAATGGACCGAAATCAAATCACATTGGCTAGGAATACTTAAAATTTTGATAAACAGATTATACCAAATTGAAATGGGAAAATCTAAATATACTCCAAGGAAAGGTGGTTAGAGACTAAGTCTCACTGAAAACCAATTCCTTAGATAGAGTATCAATTTAAGGAGACTAGTGGCACAAGATGTGTTCTTAAGTCTTGGCCATTAAAACTAGTATGTCTCACCGATTCATATATACTTAATGTATAACTGTTTGGAGTATAAACCAGTAAACTGTATGGTATACACCAGAAAACTTTAGGGTTCACCTATGATTAAAACTTAAATGGTGAACTAAATTAGCGGACTAAATGTGCTTAAATTCAGGCACTACCGCGACTAAAGTTTATGCATAAGTCCAACTTAAATAGGAACTAATATAATTCCATCTCAAAGAATGCATTGCTAAAGGCATAATAAAATTGCATAATTTAAAACATAATATTATGCTTAGGACGAACATGCATAAAATTAAACATTAAACTCATATATTCCAAATAAATTGCATAACTTAAAGCAATTTACAATATGAGATTTTAAAGTATAAACTTAATATTCAAACACCGATGAGTCCAAACCAAAAGAGACCCAACATTTTGAATAATAATGTACTGAATATATACTTTAAATTTTTTTAAACTGTAAGCCCATGGTAAAATGTTTTAATGCATAAAGATCAAATTCATGAGAAATAACTGAATTTACAAATTCAAACAATATCAAACCAAAAGGATATGCTAGCATTTGTAAATTAAAATCTCACAAACCCTAATTGTATAATTAAACTTAATA